AAATACTGAATACATAAAAATATATAATTCTATCATGATATGAGAGACAGTAGAGCTGGGGCTTGTACCCCTGGAGGGGTAGTACCAACTCCAATACATATTACCAATACCAATACATAATACCAATTTCTTACTCTGAAAATTAGTGATTAAGATATTAAGTGCTAGCCGGCTTGGTGGCTCAGCCTGTAATCCCGCGCCTTGGGAGGCTGAGGTGAATGGATTGCCTGAGCCCGTGGGTTCAAGACCCGCCTGGGCAACTTGGTGAGACCTCATCTCTACAATAAATCAAAAAACTAGCTGGGCGTGGTAGTGCGCGCCTGTAGTTCCAGCTACTTGGAAGGCTGAGGTGGAAGGATCGCCGGAGCCCAGCAGGTCAAGGTTGCGGTGGCCAGGAGCGGCCACTGCACTCCAGTCTGGGCAACAGAGTGAGACTCCAACTCAAAAAAAAAAAAAAAAAAAAAAGATATTAAGTACTTATCTTGCCTTTTCAGAAGGGACTGTAATTCATTCCTAATTGATAAGAAAAAGTATTTCTTTACAAAAGATGTCAACTAATATTCTTACTTCTACCTTGGATTTCCTTTGAACTTTTCCATTTACTTTAAAACTTCCCTCTTAATGCTGAGTCTCACTGATCTCCTTATTCATATACGTCAAGCACTATTCTAGTCAAGAAATCTATGTTACTTCCTAAAACATAACTGTTATATAATTATTTCTTCTATAACTTTTACTTGTTTTTTTCTCAACTTACAAAATGATTCAAATGTACAGAAAAGTTTTAAAAAATGCAAGACTGTTCACCTATACACACACCACCTAGATTAGCTGGCAAAAGAATGCCAGCTAATATGTAGAAGGAAGAACAATATGAGAAAATCATGTGGAATCTCCAATCTAATAATGATTCAGACAAAGACAATTATAGGTTGCTAAAACCATTATGTGAGAGATTGCTAGACAACAAAGATACTCACACAGTGCCAAGTGTCACCTCATTGACTACTTGCTAATTATAAAGAGGAAAGATTACTTTTATGTTGGAGATGGAATCACCAGTTGTGAGACAACCTGACATCATGTGCCTCCTAACAGGATGCTCTATAAAATATGTCATCATCCATAAAATATTCTCATAAAAATGTTTAAAATTAATATAATCAAGCCTCTAGACCTCATTTACAGTTTAGAAGAACTACAGAGCATGCATAATCCTAGAATAGTCTTAGACTGAAGACATCAACTAACTGGACATTTTGGGACAACAGAAAAATGTGAATATGGACTGGATACTAGATGATGTAAGAAAATTATGTTTAATTTTCTTAGCTGTGATAATGGTACTGTAGTTATATATATATGAAAGGCCTCTATTTTTAAGAGTTGCATGTTGAAATATTCAGGAATGAAGTGTCATAATGTTGGAGTCTTATGTTCAAAAGTATCAGCAAAAAATATAGATTAAGAGATAATGCAATGATGACAACATTAACTGTTGAATCTAGGTGGTGTGTATATGAGTGATCATTATTGCATTTTTTCAACTTTTCTATACATTTGAATCATTTTATAAGTTGAAAAAAATTCATAGAAGAATTATGTAACAGTCATGTGTAAGGAAATAATAAATATATTTCTTGACTAAGATAGTGCTTGGCATATTTGAATAAGGAGATCAGTGACACTCACCATTAAGTGGGAAGTTTTCAGGAAAATAGAAAGGTTCAAAGAAAATCTGAGGTAGAAGTAGGACTTGCAAAGAGAAAAGTTTCTACAGAGGAAAAGACGTACTTTAGAAAATTAAGATGGCAGTATTGCAAAGTTTGAAAACAGAAGACTTTGCCATCAGTTTCATCTCTGAGATCAGCAATTAAATTATATTTATGTATTACATATGTAGTAATAGTAAATATCTCTTCCCAACCATAACTCTTACTTCATGTTTTAATTTTAAAGTTCTCTTGTGTACCCTAGACAAAAGTCATGTGCAACAGGAGGGATAACTAAGTCATCAGTCCTCCAGGTTACATATAGCCCATGTTGTCTCCAAGTCAAAGGCCAAGTCTATACAATTTATTAGATTAATAATTTTACTGTGAATATGAAACAGTCAACTGTGGGGCAACCCCTGGAATTTCTAAGTTTGCTGATTTCAGTCACCTTAACAATGGCACTAATTGACTAGGATCCCATCAGTAGCCTGGCCATCATCTTTGTAGTCATTAAAAAAAAAAAAAATCAATTAAAGAAGGCCAATTTATTCAGGCCATGTAAACACTGTCAGCACTTTTCTGAAATTAGATCTTTGTTATCAGACAGAAAATACAGATGCACAGACTACAATAACATAGGAGTTTTATTATAAATCTCCTCTTAATTTTAAATGGTAATGATCAATACACATAAAAGAGCCATTGCCCATAGGTTTACTGTGGCTTCATGCTCAAAACTTCATCTTTAGAACGATTTTTTACTTTCAAAACTGATTCTGCATGCATACAGAGATACAAAAAAGTCAAATTTTGCCTTCCAAATCTAGTCTAGTAGTATGTCTGTAGCTATGAATTTTAATCTATTTTTTTCCTACCCATTAGGAAAAGGGTATACCATAAATTTTTCCTTATTAGTTTGGCAAGTTCTATCTAATCTCTGAGCCTATTTTTTCACTTGTAAAATAGAAAAAAAAAAAAATGCCCCTAAAACAGGGCTGCCACACTTGCTCTACCTACTTTAAAGGGCTTGAGATAAAGCTGAGTTGAGTACCTTGAAGCCTATCTTCAAATAAAACAAATGATTTTAAACATATTATTTGTTTAGATTAATTTTAATTTGGTTTATGACTATATTTTATGATACAACATGCAGGAAAAAAGTTGGTAGGATTCCATTTTTACTACCTAGCTATCTAGTAAAACACAAATTAGACATAATCACATACACAGAACTCTTGCCAAAAATATTTAAGCTTAACTTAGTGAAACAATTAGCCTCATGTAGATTTGGAGACATTCTAAGAAGAAAATTAACCTGGACTTTTCAAAAAATACCAATGTCATGAAAGACATGGAAAAACACATAAAGGCAGGAGGTGAATGGCCAAAAAAAAAAAAAATGATGTGTTGACCAGATGAAATCAAGATTCTTAATGAGGTCCTAATCAAACAACAAGAACATTAGGAGGAACACTGTTGGGACAATTAGGGCAATTTGTTCTGTATATTAGCTAATAATGTATCGACAAGTCATATCTTGAGTTTGATAGCAATGCTATGGTTATGAAAAAATGTCCTTGGTTTTAGAAGAAATATACTGAAATATTCAGGGAAGAAATATTACACTGTTTGCAACAATTTTCAAATGGTTCAGAAAAAAAATTAACTAGAGAGAAAGCAAATATGGCAAAAGGTTAATGATAGCCAAGAACCTAGGTAAAGGGTATACAAGTGTTCATTATTCTATTTAAACTTTTGCGTACATTTGAAATTTTCAAAAGAGACTAAGTAAGGTGTGGAAGAGTGGGAGGAAAGGGGACACTGCAGAAACAACAAAATAAAAAGGTGGCAACTAATGAAAAAAGGATGTTAACCTTTCATTAATAAAATAATAATTTCAAAAAGCTAATTTTTAAACCAAAATAAGTTCATTAAGTTATAATGTTGAAGTGTTTCATTAGTCTTTATTTATTATTTCATTAGTCTTTCTAATAAACAAAACAGTAAAATTAGGCAAACTTAATTATATAATAAAGGGTTCATTAAAGGATTTCTTTTAAGCAAAAAGCAGTGTAATTTCTAAAAAGCTGAATAGACATAGATAATGTTATTATGGGAAAAGATCATGAATATAAACTCAAGTTCTTATAAATTAGTAGATCATTACCCACATGTTTTCAGTAATACAACTATTATATAAACAAACATACAACTTTACATTTCTCTCTAAAAAGAAATTTCAAAGGCAAAGAGCACAGATGTGGTGACCCATATTTTATCATAAACTTCAACTACTCCAAAGGTAGGCAAAGGAAAACAACTAGAAATAATTAGGTGTAGTACATAGGCAAAAACCATTATATCTTGCTCTAGAAATGCCATTGTTCTAATGTAAGAATGCTATAAAAAGTGGAGAAAGAAAAATCCTCTAATCAACACTAGACTTGGATAATAGATGAAGATAAATTCAAGATAGTGAAATTGAAAAAACTAAGTCTGTCTTATACGGAAAAGTTTTCCTGCTTTTAGTTGAAAAAATGGTAGCTAAATTTCAATATTATACTTTGTACCAAACCAGTATATATATACAGATATATAATTTTTTACCCAACATTCTTTGTATCAAACCAGTAGGGTATGTATGTAATTGATAGATTCTCTAGGCGATGTAGTACTACTTTTTAAGTGCAGCATAAGCACTTGACTATTCTAAATAGACTGTCAGGCTTTCCTGTTCTGACAGAAGGTTAGACAATTGCCCATCAATCCCATAAGAAACCATAAAGTACAGTTGGAAATATCTTTTTATGGATTCATTTGAATGCTAACTAGAAAAAGCATCACTGTAACATGAGCTAACCATTTATATTTGTATAATCTCTTAAATAAATTCATGAAAATTTTAAATATTCTGTTATAGTGGAGTTACATTCTATGCTTTAAAACCTATTTACTAGTGAGGCCCAGACTTTATCTGTACAATGACCATTTGTACACCTACCCTGAATTGTACCCCACATCTTTAAGATAAAATAAAATAAAACCTATTTACTGGTATAAAGTTCTAATACTATGCTTTCCCAGGAAATATGCATTATTTCCTTTCATGGATAAGCTCTGTAATGGAAAGAAAAAATAAGAGCAAATTAAATTATCTTTATGAACTAACCAGTTTTTACCAATGCTGCTTTTTTCTTTATAAGATAGCAACAAAGTGAACAGCAGGGACAAGAACAAATTGCATGAAATGTTGTATGTTTATTTTCAAAATGGCATTTCATTTACCTTGTTAATGGGCACTACCAAAGTTGGTTCCACTTTAGCTTCAATTTCTTCTGGACTGTAGAAACAATAGAGTTTACCTCCTCTCAAAACACAATACAGCCTTCTCCAACTAATCAGACCTTCTATCATTTGCTAGGAAAAAAAAAACCAAGAAACTATTAATTTAAAGTCATTAGTACTGTAATTCTATATTCATCAAAATACTTAAGTTATCAGAGTTAAATTAGTTACCTAGAACTTTTAAAATATGATAGAATTACCTATTAATTTGCTATGTAAGTCTAATTGCCCAAATCCAAAAAGAAGTTAATATCAGAGAAGAAAAGTTTGAAATTATCAAAAGCATTAAGAAAAGTGGAGATAATGATCACCACCTTTTACACACATAAAATCATAAATCAATGCAGTCTTAGAAAAGCTAGTCTATTAAAAACTAGTGCTTAGAATTCCATAGCAATTTATCATATGACTCAGGAAAATTATAAAAATAACTCTGTGTTCAAAATATAATATTCCCTTACTGTTCTCAGAGCACTGGAAAATGTTGACTACCCTGTAAGAATGCAAATTTTCTTTCTTCCTAATGGAATCTTTCAGAAAAAGCTATTGATTCATTGAAGCCCACAATTAATTATTTACTGAATATAAATAACTATGGTTATAAATAAATCAGGAGTAGGTGGCACAGAGGCAGCTTTGGAAGCTCGGAGGCCCAAACTGTGCCAAAAGCTGTCTGCCAGAAAGACCTTTATGTGAAAGGTGTTGAACAGCCCTCATCAGTTTCCACAAGTAGTCCTCTCTGTTGCTGATTATCCCATTGCTGCTATTAATGAAGCAGACAAGCATGGAGAACTAGCGCCTTAGCCATCAGCGCTGCATGAAACCCCTCCTCTTGCCATTCTTTTCACCCCCTGTAGCCCCCCACAGTTTACATGTGATAACATTTAGAAAACTGACATTTTAAAAAAGGACTTAAAAAATACCTCTTGATATTAGAAGGTCAAACAACTGCCAGTATATTAAGATTTAAATTGGAGCTACGACTGTGATAGGATATTGAAAATCCTCTAACCTGCTGATTAAGAAATCCTGCAAGTGCATCCTCAGCCATACAAGCTGGCTGGGCAACTAGACGGCAGCACATGTTGCCATATAGGGGAAGCCAAAATGAAGACTCCTCTATTTAAAGGAGAAAGAAAAAAAATCAAGTTATAAATATGTTTATTTAAGGTCATTGTACAGTTTTCTTTTTACAACTCTTTTTGCTTTATATAAGAACATTTAAAAATTATTTTTATGTAAAAATTCATCCTATTCAAATACCAGTACCATATTTAGTAATAACATCAAACGTGAGAAGAGAAAGGACAGCAAAGAAGTCTGACAGTTTATAGCATGCTATCACCTGGAATAAACACGAACTGTTTCTTCTCTTGATCTTGTTTGATCTTAAAGTAATTATTTAATAGAAGTTGCTTAGAGAATATAAGTAACCTCATTTAATATAAAAATACTCTAATGAAGTGATTTCTGTCTGTCAAATTCTACTTTTTGCTCTGATTTTTATTATAGTAACTAGCAAGGTGATCCTCTGAATAAAACATTATTTCAGAGAACACTTAAGAAAAATTAATCAACATTTTTGCCCTTCCTCCTTCCCTTCTCTTACTGAACAATTCAGTCATAAAGCCATTAAGTGGAGTCCCTAACATGGGCATCAGTGACAGGGGCAGGAGCAGAAGTTGAGGTATGCTTGGACTGGGTGATGCAGCCAGGCAGAAGGGTGAGTAGGAGGGCCGCAAGATATGTCAGTGCCTGAATGAGCTGAGAAAGCAATCAGAGAGAAGCAAAGCCTACACTGGGGAATCTGCCCTAAGCAAGCAGTGTAAGGGGAATGTCCCTGTGGAAGGTAGCCTGAGATAGGGGTATTAGAGCCCAAGGGAGATCTCTACTTAGGGGATGGCCTGGTGTGGGAAGTTAGGGCCCAAGCAGAGTAAAGAGGGCCCCTATATGGGGTGTCTGCTTGATGTGAGGGGTCAGAATCCAGGAAGAATAGGCAGTGTCTCTGTTTGGGGGCAGCCCAGACATAGGAGTCAAGAGTCTGAAAGCACTGAGGAAGCCATCCACACATGGGGTGACTCAGCAGTGTGGTAGAGCCCAAGTCAAGTAAAAAGGGCATCCAGGGTTCCTTGGAGAAATGGATGAGATGAAGTATCCTGATTTGCCATAAAGCAAGGAAGTGCTCAAAGAATGATGCAGATGTGTCTTAAATGGGCTCCCATTGGTCAAACTGGCGACAATTTGAATCAAAATAAACAATATTAACAGATTATGATGTACTATATAAAAGAGAAAAACATGAGTCCATATTGAGATAAATAAAGGAATAAAAAATTGAAAGTCTAGTAAGAAATAGTAGGCAGTTGAACCTTGAACACCACAGGTTTGAACTGCATGGGTTCCCTTATATGCTGATTTTTCTGCCTCTCTTGAGACAGCAAGGTAAGGATGAAGACTTTTATGATGATCCACTTCCACTTAATGAATAAATATATTTTTTCAACTCATTTGCAATCGCTGATGTGAATTTAGGTCATTCCAAATTATTCCTGGTTGCTGTTGACATGAATTTACGTCTTTGCAAATTCTGTTTCTGAATGCTGCCATGTTGTCATATGTATGTGTTATATTTTGCTTGAAAATGAATAGAGAGGCAAGGAGAAAGTTAATTGAGATAATTATCTGATATTGACTGCACAATGTTGTTATTGATTTACGTAGTTGGTAAAAATTGCAAGTTGGTCATTATTTTGTTGCGATTAGTGTTGTATACTTGTATTTTGATATTTTAGGGTTTTCATACTTCAACGTTAAAAAGAAATAATTTACCATAATTATGAAAACTGAATAAATATATGCTGATGAGATTTCCAAGGTCGAAGGTGAATTCAGTGACCCTAATAGTGTTAGATAGATAGTGATATAATGATGCAATATAAATGAAAAACTCAATATAATCTGAATAAAAATACAAAGTACAGAATGCTAGTCAGAACGGTCTGAGTCAAATACTGGATATGTCTGCAACTTTCAGCTGTATTGTGAAAAAGGTGACAATTTAGAAAAGACCATTTCACTTGTGCTTAATGACAGAAATTTGTGGCAATTAGCTCCAGGTTTTGTTTTTTTTAATTTTCACTCACTCTCAGTATCAGGAAAGTGAAAAATTTGCTGACTGCGAATGTGTTAATAACATTTTCTTTTCTGTGGCTTACTTTACTGTAATACACATAACATACAAAATATGTGCTAACAAACTTTGTTATCAGTCAGGCTTCCAGTCAACAGTACGTTATTAGTAGTTAAGTTTTGGGAGACTCAAAAGTAATATGTAAGTTTTTGACTGTGTGTGGGTTGGCACCCCTATGCCTCCTGTTGTTCAGGGATTAACTGTACTTATTAGGTTGATGCATAAGTTCATAGCGTTGGCTTTTGCCATGGCAACACTGCGGTTTTGGGAATTGATCATTTGTCATTTGGAGTGACAGTGTTGTGCTTGTAATTATGCCTTGCATTTCGCAGATTTGAAGAAAGTCAATGCTATTTGTAGGCTAAAGAAGATGGAGTGTCAATTAGAAAAAACCAAACACTTCCAACATAAACTTCTGTTTGAGTCAACAAAGGAGTAAAGGCAGCAGAGGCAGCTCGAAACATTTGTGCTGTGTACAGGGAGAATACCTTCGGGAAAAGCATGTTAAGAAAATGGTTTTGTTGTTTCAAAGAGGGCCACTTTGATCTGAGTGATTCTCCACATTCAGGAAGATGATTAGACTTTGATGAAGACCATTTAAATGCCTTAATCCATGATGATCCATGTCAGTCAACCCAAGAATTGCAAATGTAATAAACTGTGACCAGTCAACTATGGTGTGACATTTGCATTCTATGGGCAAGTGAAAAACGCTACTAACTTATGCATCAACACAAGAGCTTCAAGGTACTGCCCTCTTACCACAAAATACAATCCCCCCAAAAACTGGAATTACTTTTTGGAAGGGTGGGTCCCTTGTAATATAGTCTTTTCCCACTAGGTAAGTGATGTACAAACATATCAGCATCTGTGTACCAGTTAGCTTTGTTGTAAGAGCTGTGTTTGGCCTCAGAGAATTTTTGTTGGAGATTCTTTCAACATGTTTCATGATGGGTGATTTACAAGCACACTTGCCCACAATGCCCTGAGTGTTCAGCAATTTTTGGCCAAAAATGGCATGATCCTCATGCCTCACCTTCCCTATTCACTGGATCCCACTCCAGCGACTTTGTTGTTTCTCCAGATGAAAAAAGTCCTCAAAAGAAAATGTTCTGCAGATGTGAAAGAATTGAATCAAAAAACAGCAGAAACACTGAAATGCATCAAAATTGACAAGTTCAAAAACTTTAGAGCAGTGGAAAAAGTGCCTTGATAGGTGCTGCATCAAACTGAGTACTTGAAGATGACTGAAGTTTAAACATGTAAAAATAAATATGCAATTTTTTATAAATAAATTCTGGGTTTTGGGGGGTCCTCCCTTGTATGTAGTAATTTCAAAGAGAAAACAAAATAGTAACCTTATAGTAGAGAAGCTTGGGAGACACCACTTTATTTATTTATTTATTTATTTTGAGTTGGAGTCTCACTCTGTCACCCAGGTTGGAGTGCAGTGGCATGCTCCCAGCCACCGCAGCCTTGACCTGCTCGGCGCCCGCGATCCTTCCACCTCAGCCTTCCAAGTAGCCAGAACTACAGGCACGTGCTACCACGTCCAGCTAAATTTTTTTTATTTATTGTAGAGACGAGGTCTCACCATGTTGCCCAGGCTGGTCTTGAACCCGCGAGCTCAGGCAATCCTCTTGCCTCAGTCTCCCAAAGTGCCGGAATTATAGGCTTGCACCTATAATTGGGAGACACCACTTTAAATAAGTTATCAAAGTGAATGTCATTAGTAATGAGATGAAATCAACAATTCACCACCTGATAGGTTGCAATAAGAATGCAGCATCACTTTTGTAATATTTCTGCCAGAGAGTCATATCCTGACTCTTATCCCAAGAAAATATCAGACTAACCCAAATTTAAGGGAACTAAAACAAAATCACTGACTATAATCTTTAAAAATGTCAAGGTCAAAAAAGTGAAAGAAAGACTAAAGAATGAGTCCAGATTGAAGAAAAATTTTTTTAAAAGCATTATCATTAAATGCAAAGGGTGATTCTGCACTGGATCTTTGCTTTAAAGAATATTATTGGGACAACAGGCAACACTTGGAGTCTGAGAATTAGATGGTAGTAATGTATTAATATTCATTCCCTGAACTGGAGAGTTATGGTGATGCAGGTGAATAATCTGATAGTAGGAATATGTATTAGCAAATTTGGGAGGTAACAGATATCATGTAAGCAACTTGATCTCATATTATTTGGGTGGAGTGGGGTGGTGGGGGAGATTTTGACACTCAACTGAGGTGCAGTGTTGAGTGCCTGTAGTCCCAGCTACTTGGGAAGCTGAGGTGGGAGGGCTTCTTGAGCCCACGAATTCCAGGCTAGGCTGGGTAACATTGATATCTGGCTCTAAAAAAAACAAACAAACAAAAATTTTGCAACTTTTCTATAAGTATGTTTAAAAATGTTTTTTCAAAAATACATTAAGACATTTCTTTAATGTAGCACACAGGTACACATCTAGCCTTCATATCTGTAGGGAGGAGAGCATTGCATAATTTATTCTATGCATCAGAGTATAAATAAAAACCTAACATATAGCCCATAGTTCACACTGAAACCACACAAAAATGATTTTTAAAGTTTTCACTGTACTCTACTGGTAGTGCCTACAAAATGGCTAGCCATTGCCTGTAACTATTATTTACCTAAAAGTTATAGTTACTCTTAAAAAAAAGTTTTTTGGTAAAAGTGCAATTATTTAATACAGAGGATGCTAAAAAATGTATGCATTTTAAGAAAGGAAAAACTGTATTAAAATTGTAATACTCAATATACACAATAGCAAAAGGTGAATACAAGTTACATTTGACTTCTGCAGTTACAAGAGGTGCTCAAAGTGGTTACCATCAGCATCCGGACACTTCTGATTATGGTGAACTAAAAGGAAGGATTGCCAGAGCCCAGCAGGTCGAGGCTGC